AAATATATTTATGATATTATATTTCCTTTTATAATACGCATTTCAGCTGCATATTATAAAAGGAAATGTAAATATAATTATCAATTATTCATAATTTCTTTTAAAAATATATTATTAAATTATATTATATTTATTATATTATATTAGAGCAGATGTGCAGCAGACCTTTCAGTGCTTTCTATGGAGCGTTTCAGCTGCATGTTTTCTTCAAGTACAAATAAGTTCTTCTCCTGGAGATTCTCTATTTTACAACTCTGCTGCTCCATCTACATACAAAAAAGAAAATGCATCATGAAATTAAAAACCCTTCTGATTTCACTGTAATATTTGTGGTGTAAACATGAGTACACATGTGTGATCACCTTGATTCTGAGCTCAGACAGAGTGCTGTTCTGCTCTGTATTTCTCCTGTCCTGGATGTGCATGTTCTCTCTGACCTCCCTGAACTCATCCTCCGAGTGCTTCAGAGCTTCACGCAGCATCTCCATTTCCTTCAGACGAGCCTGGAGCTGCTTGCGGCCCTGTTCCATCTCTCTTTCCATCTCCTCGCGGTCACTCTGTGCTTCCTTCTCCACCATCTCCAGCCTCAAAGAGTATTCCTCTGACTCCAAACATGTCTTTTGCAACTGCAAGAATTACGAAGGGTTAATGTACTATGTCTCAGTGAAGATGGACTGTAATGAGCTGTGAGGGTGATATGTTAAAAGCACCTGACTCTTGTAACCCTCTACCAGACTCTCAAAGTCTCTGAGAGAAATTTTCAGCCGCTGTACCTCCGACTGAGTCAAAGACAGCCTGTCCTCTGTGGCTGACAGAGTGCTCTAAAAGAGGAGACATGCAAGTTAAAGCACAAAAATCTAAATCCGAGCTTAAATGGCTTTGGATGAATAAGAAAAGTCTAGATCTAGACAGATTTTTTTTTATTTATTGCCTTGAGTCTCTGGTTTTCCAGTTTGGTAGCTGTGCTCTCTGAGGTGAGGGAGTGTAGACGGCTGAGAAGCCCCTCTCTCTCTGTGCAGGACTTCTCACAACTGTGCAGCTGTTCACTCAACTTCAAAAGACAAAAACAAGAAATTATACTTAAAATAAAGAAAAGCTGTTCAAAACCATTTTATTCCCCTGAGTAATTCTCATTACTATATATATATATATATAATTCTCATTAATGTAATATTAAGTGTATTGAGTATTACTTATAAGTAAAAAAAAAAAAGCAAATGCCACAAAATTCCCACAAAAATATTAAAGGGATAGTTCACCCAAAAATGAAA